AAGCAGCACTGGAGATCAGTTTCGGAAGATGCTAATAAAACAAGGTCGTCTGCAAACAGCAACCTTCTCGGCATCACATCTCCTACACCGCTGCCGTCATCGCCTTGGCAGCTTCTGACTATTCTATCCATGTACAAGACAAACAGGATAGTGGGCAGGACGCAGCTTTGGCGGAGACCAGTGCTAGCGTTGAGAGACTTAGACTTAACACAATTTAGTCAGAAGCAGCACCTGCTATCAGAATATAGTGATTGGATGGCCCTTAGCAGCTGGCCGTTTATCACGTATGCACGAAGGCATGTCTACAGACTTTTGTGCAGGATCCGGTCATAGATTTTCTCTTGATCCACAAAGTACATGCACAGCGGATGGGCAAATTCTCACGATTTCTCAACAGTCCGGCGTAGAACGTAAATCTGGTCTGATCTGTTCCGGCCGGGCCGGAAGCCACATTGCTGTTCTAATATCTTGGTATCATTTATTCAGCGTCAAGTCGTTTCTAGCACCTTTGCGTAGACTTTATCGGGGAGGCTCAATAAGCTAATGCCACGATAACTGGAGGACAGCTAGTTGTGCCACTTCTCGAATTGGGTTACTACAACCATTGTTCTCCAGTCGCTTTCAATGTTTGTCTTCCCCGTAGCCACTGCTGTTAGGCAGAAACTTGTAAGCCAGAGATATCTTTTTGGCCTATTGTTTTGATTGTTTCAGGGCCGATTTCTCAATTCCAGTAGTCTTTCAACTTTTCCACCTTATGATGCATTTCAGAAGATATTAGTTTGGCTTCGATCAATTCGATGTCGAATTTCTAGTTTAAATGGACTTCACGTTGTTTTATTATTCATTTCTTTCTCGATAACGATTTATTATTGGTTGCGGTACTCATCATGCATATTAATTTCCAAAACATTGCAAAAACTGTTATTTTATTACAGCAATAAATATCGATTTATCACTGAAATAAGCCGGTAGAGCAAAATCGAATTCAATTTCCGTCGTTGTTTTCTGAACCTTCACGAGTTGCTTTTAAATTCTAGAAATTCGCAGATGTTTATCAAGACATCAGGTTAGCTTATCTGTGAAGTTCAGACTCGATAAACAGTGGATTGCTCTGGCTCTGACGAGGTGACGTGGTTTAGTGACTAAAAGGTCGATTTTGTACTACTGAGGTCACGGGTGATAGTTGTCTCAACTTCGAATTTCCTAGAGCAAAGAATTTACTATGCGTTGCTTCAGACCTGGATCGATCAGTTCATAGAGCGACGTACTCAAAACTGAAAGATCCTGAGTTCCAGTCCTGGGTGGGGTAATTCGTCATTTTTCCTTCCGAGGCTGATAAATGAGTACTAATCCATGAAAAGGAAACTGAACCTGTACCTGCCTACTGCCGCTGGAGATTCTGCTTTTAAAATGAGGCACTCTTGCCTAATGGCTGGAAATGTAGACCAGGGACCCATTAACTTCGTGAAAAAATGGTAACCGGAAATCCCGCCGTGATGACAATGCACT